AAAAACACCTTGAAACCAAAATTCATATTGTACACGGGCCCTCATGTACTCCAAAGTAAATTGACGTTATTCGCTACATTCGAAAATAAACCATATTACAATTGTCCTGCGGTTCTAATGCAAAGTTTGCAATGTTCGTCCGTCTTGGCTCCAGCGACCAATTCAATGCGTGTTTGAATAGGTAATATAAGAATGTTGTAACTCTCACTTAGGTTGCCCAAACAAAAGCCAAATTCTTGGCTGATTCCCGTCGGAAGCTGGGAAAATACCACAACGTAGTTTGACACGCAGTATAACAAACTGGATATCCATTCGGCTTCAAGTGTTATGAGACGAGATTTTTTATCCCTGATACCAGTGGTAGTCGCTTCCTCCCCTCGAATCTAAATGTACACAGAGAACTTTTCCTATGGAGATGTCCTCAGGATAGATTCCTGGGCTCCGAAACTGTATGACTGAACCCACGAAAATGCTGGAGACTAGAATTACAGAGTCCGAATTACACGCTCAATCCGGAATACATTTCTTGTTGGAACGTGTTTGGTTGTACAAAAATAATTGTGAATAGCGGAGAGCATGCACACAGGAAGCCGCACGCGTTCCATCAGTGGTATTGTTCTTCTCTCCGTTTCGCCGGCGACTGTCTGCGAGTATGTCGTATTTCATGAGCAAGCTTGAAAGGAAGGCGATAAAAAGCAGATGGTGAGACATGACGCTTGAAAGGCAAAATTTGGTGCACATTCATTGCCAGCATGTTCAAACTCGTAGCATGGATAAGGTTTTATTGTTTAGAGATTATTTTCGGTACATTCTGCGCGTATATTGTTTGGTGAAAGCCTAGATCATCGCCAGGATGCTTGGAGTGTCAGGTGAGACCGTGGTGAATCTTGGTTCCAGCAGTGGGTTGACATAGCATAGTTTGTGGTTGAATTTGACTGCAAGCATTTAAGGTACAGCCATATGTCTAAAAAATAGTATCTTCACTTATTTCGAACGTTTGCAATCATG